AGCATGAAAGTAAATTATGAAAAGCCGGCAACGAGCTTTTTCACTCGGAAAAATCCTTTGAAATATTACTTGCCAGATAAGCTGAGAGCCTTGAAATAATAAATGTGGTGCTAGGTGCAAACAATTACATAGTTAAAAGTGTAAATAACAATATTTTATACCTCATAAAATAAATATAAAAACGCTTTAACGTGATTTTTAAAATGAACAATGGATATAAGAATTTGTTTATGAATTAAAAATAATACACTTATATGAAAATCCAAAAAAAAAAATCATCTCTCCCGACATTGCTTTTTAGCAAGGGAGTTCATAATAGAATTCATATACATATACCCTACATACAAACAAACATACTAATTTACCCGAGAATATACAGTCGGATAAGAAATGACAAACGTATGTCTTATGATTTAATACCTTGTTTACATTATGCCAGTTGTATGCCAGTGTTCATTTTAAGTGCAACTGTACCACTACTGGCATAATGTAAACAAGGCATAATAACTTAATATTATTTTAATAGATAGGTACAAGTAATAGTTATGGTGACAGAGAACGTTGTGGTTGAAATGTGAATAAACAAAAGCATTGAGCCTCAGGCATTCATGGAAGCGCATAATTACATTATTCCAAGCGGTGTTTGCGTTGGCAAGTTGCCAGAAAGTAAGACTGTTTCGTATGTCATTACAAGAGCGCTGTCTGGATACAGTTATAGATAGAACATTAATATAGGGTACAGAAGTATGGAGACAGCTTCACTTTGTCTCGCTTTCAGGAAGATATTTTTCTTTGCTAGTGTGTAATTTCATACTATGTATGGCTCATTTTGACCTCGTATAGGTTTTACGTTTATGTTATGTAAAATTATTGCATAAATTAAACCACACTTCTTACTAATATGTATTATAAATGCGAATGTTTCATGTATGGATAGGTCTGTTAGATGATATCTTCAGAACAGCTCACCGGATGTCGATAAAATTTTGCACGGACGTAGATCATAGTCTGGAAAAACACATAATCTATTAACTTATTTTATTTCCTACTACAAGTAATAAAAGTTTGAATCAGAAATTTGTTATTCAAGTAAGAAAAACTATTGTCTTAAAGTTTTTAACAAAAAGGCATAATAGCGAGCGTCCTTTCCATGACTTTTCAAGTTTCTTCATAAAAAAATACTCGGAGTTTTTATTTAAAATCTGATAACATCTTAAACTTTGTTATATTTTGTAGATTTTATTCAATTCATACAAATTTTCTAAAGTTAAATAAAAATGTATTGTTTTCTGAGATATGACTGAAAAAAACTATGAAATCAAGGCTTTTAACGTATGCAAAATAATTTATCTCAAAGTTTAGGCAAACGAGGTAATTCGTTATCCTTGTTCACCCGTTTGCCGGAGTTTTAAAATGCTTAGCGATGCAGCCGTAAACGGGATTTAAATTTCATTTCTTCTGTGATTTATAACTTTATGCAAATTTAAGACTGCCACAACTGTTAACTGTTTGTCATTGAGATAAAAGAACTTCATTTCACAGTAGTTTAAATAACAATTATTATAAGATTTTAAAGTTTATTACAAGCGTGACGTATAACATAGATAATTTGGGCTGGCAGTTGTAATATAGTTTTTTTTTTATAAATTTTTATTAAGTGACTAGCGGTCGCCCGTGACTTCAACGCAAAAAAAGTAGCCTTTAATATGCCCGCGTGCATCGGCTACTGTCCTGTCAAATTCGGTCCAGCCGTTCTGAAAATTACCCGAAACAAACGCGGCCTTGCGTACTTATAGACACACAGGCATACATATAGAAAGACAAACATTTTTAAATTCTCTGTATGTTATCAGCTACGTAAATACATCATGTATACGATTAAATTGTTTTTTTCTATATATATATATATAATACATATAGACATTCCATGTCTGTATGCAATGTTTGCTTGCGTTAGTTGAGACAATTTTAGTCATATGATTAATAAAATGTACGTTTTTGTAATTCTAATGACTACAACGAGGCAATAAACGGCAGGATGCTTTGGAAAACAATATGTTCGCAGCAAAAACAGCATTAAATTGAAATATGTTTTACTTTCCACGCTGCACACGAACTAATTAACCGAAATAAGTATTCCAATTATTTTTATATTCAGAATATTCCTACAAAAAGTAATTTGTTTATGTTTCTGGATTCACGTTGAAAGAAATATTCGGTTAAATAGTTTATTTTAAAATTACAACAATTAGCCTTAAATTAAAATTTAGTCTTTTGATAAACAGTTCGTAAAAGAGCACATATCTAGATTTATTTGCTTAGCTCAAAAAGTTTTTAATATTAAGGAAACGTTGGATTTTTCACTGACAATAATAAAAATTCGATAGCCTGATACTACACTAGAATAGTTGAATTAATAAGCGTCGGTTACGCAGTGAGTTAAGCATTGGACCTACAATCTAAAAGTCTTGGTTTCGATTCTCATATTAAAATGGGGATAATTTTAAGCCATTTTTTTTAATTTGCTAATATTTCTTTTACCATTCCAATTAAGCTCTAAGCTTGTGCTAGGATATGGTTTACGACAATAGTCGAATGGCGAGATTCAAACCCCGACTTCGTGATCGGAAATCCGTACCCTTAGCCATTAGGCTATTGCCGCTTAAATGATTATGTAAGGAAGAGTAAAAATCTATTGATATTTTAGAATATGGTGATGCATTCAAGGATGCTTAGAACATAAGGACTCTTGCATCAAGGACTATAAGCGCATTTCTAGTGATTCTGTATGAGAAATTAATATTAAATTTTTTATCTTAAACATAACCATTATAGCGATTTAATTAAAATGAATAAGTTGTAAAAAGTTAAATTTGTTTACAAGTTGTGGTGTCAAGTTCAGGGTGAGCGCTTATTGTTTTAATCAATCTGACCATAATTGAAAAAGTTTGAAGAATGTCAAAAAGATTTAGACTATTCTGATTCGTTTAATTCGAAAAAAAGCCTCTGAAATTATCCGAAGTTTTCCTTTATCGTTTTACTAGCTGTCGCCCGCGACTCAGTCCGCGCAGTGTTAAAAAAACTTAATTAGTAGCCTATGTGTTCTTCCCGATTATGTTCTACATCTATGCTGAATTTCTTCGAAATCCGTTAAGCCGTTTTGAAGATACATAATAACAAACATCCATCCATCCAAACTATCGCATTTATAATATTAGTAAGATGTAATTTTGTTGTAATCTGTGATAATACTCGATGCTCATAATTTATTAATTACATTTAAAATATATAAGAGATTTCTTCAAAATATATACGTTTATACTTTATGCATTCGGTAGCCAAATAAAGAAATTTTAATTCTACCTTCGTCGCGAACAAACTACACTGTTCATCTACGTTGCTGAACGATTCTTAAATTAGTTATTTCATAATCAGCCTAAGCATTTTAACTAGCAAAATGCGGTGCTTTAAAAGGACCTGTGAAATGTTCACAAGTCCTTTTAATTTGTAAAATGTAATGAAAATATAAATTATAGATTATTAATATTGAGATGTGTAAAATAATTTACATCACTTTTAACAGATGGCGTTAAATACAATTTAGTTAATAATGAAATAAAATTATTTTTGTATGAAATAGAACTCTTACAACAGATTACATCTTCATCAATTGAAATTTATTCGTCGGTCGTCAAAGCATAAATCTCAAAGAGTCTCTTTGCAAAGTGTATCTTAAAATGTAAACTTTGTGGGATATGAGGAAACTGTGCAAAAATGAAATTAACCCTTAATTCGATGGTGTCCAGTGTGACGAACAACTAATTAAAAAAATCTACTGAATTTCTAGACAAAATTACGTAAGTATGATTTTAATAAAACAAAACAGTTTTTTTGCTACAAAAAATTTCGTCGAATAACGAATTATTAATCAATTTCGTTTTTAAAACAAGTTTATTTATTCTATTTCGTGGAATATTTTTACTGTGCCCTTTAAATCTTACTCCCTTTATCCACAACAATCCATACAAACCTAAACTTTAATTTATAGCTCTTGGAATTTTTTATTTATTTTATTAATGTATTCGAGTTCTTTCAAAATCCTTTTTAATTAAAAAAGCAATTTTAAGTAAAGATTACGTCATAAATTACAGTAAGGTACTAAAATTATTTGATAATTTTAAGATTAGATTTTGGTATTTAATAAACTATCGAGATACAAATTATTATACCTACCTTAGGGACCTTCAAGAAGGGAGCATACCATTTCCTTAAAGGCCGGCAACGTATCTGCAGTTCCTCTGGTGTTGCAGATGTCCATGGGTGTCGTTGATCGCCTCGGTGTTCCCGTAGCTCGTTTGTCCCCCTCTATTGCAAAAAAAATATATTGAAATTACTATATCGTTTATTAATTGCTGTGTACTGACAGGTCTACTTATAGACTGACGAAGTTTAAAACAGGTTGGTAACATTGATTATCATTAATTTTGAAAACTACCCACGTATTTTTTCATTTTCTTGTTATTGCATCACTTTGCCGCGAGTGTCTGTACCGCGTTGAACGCGTGGCAAAAAAACTGTCGTTTCATCTTTGACGAAGCATCATCAGCAACAATTCGGATGAAGAAGCTTTCCGTTCAAGTGAAATTCGATGTAATCCTGAACATTTGAAGAGAATAATTTAATTGCTTCTTTACAGAAGCGTGCAAAAGTAAGTAACTTGGCTTACAGTTACGTTATTAATTATTAGATATTCGATACAATTATCTTAGTTCTATAAAACTTTAAGTTCTTTAGCAATCTGCTTAAGAAAAAACCAGTGCTTAAAAAACCATGTTACACTAAAAAACGAATAAATGTAAAATTATTTTTTACATCAAAATTTAAGTTTAATTATGTTTGTAAAAGAAGGCAGAGGAGGCTAATTAGCATTTTACTACATTCTAGACTTAAATGGAATTAGCATTTCACTTGATAAATCTTTTTTTTAACTTTCCAGGACTAGGTTATATCTATGGAAGCTTTGAACGAATGACACGCGTATGGCACACAGAGAAAAAGTGATAATTCTGGTGTTTGTTTCTTAAGAACGGTTATAATTTGAACATTTGAGTAACAAGAGAAAATTCGTTTATTATTACGGTAAGTTTTCTTCTTCTTCTTCTTAATATTATAAAGATATTACTAGCTGACGCCCGCGACTACGCCCACACTTAATTAAAAAAATAATTAGTACCCTATGTGTTCTTTCAGACTATGTTCCATACATATGCCAAATTTCGTCGAGATTCACTCAGCCTTTCTGGGAATACCTTCAAACAAACATCCATCCGCATTTATAATATTAGTAAGATTTAAATGAGTAGTAACAATAAGAAGATATCCGTCTCGTAGACAATAAAATGCTTTAAATTTGAGCATTCAAATGAAGTCCTAATAAAATGTAGTGAGCTGTACGTGAGATTTAATCTTAACCTAACACGGCGCCCCTATAAATATTTACGATATGATAACGCGCCCGATATTGAGGAACATTATATAGGCTTTTTTATTTTCAAGAAGCGAGAATAAAGATTCGGGAATCTGACGAAATGTAAGACGAAATCGTCGCAAATAAAGCCCCAAGGCAATACTTACGGTGAATACAGAAATGGAGCCAGTTTACATTTAGCTACCCATTTTATGAATCTGGAAAAGATACAGCTACGAACTATGAAATTTAAATTTAAATATAACTTAACATAAAGTATCATCTCTCTTGATATAAATTCAATTAAATTTAGACTTAAAAATTCAAATACGGTGGCTCAGAGGTTTTAGGACTTGTAAACCACAGGTCCTGGGTTCAAATCCCGCCATGTATTATACCTATGTGTTTTTCGATTTTCCATTTTCATATGTACATTTATTCGAGGTTCTTACGGTGAAGGAAAACATCGTGATGCAACCTGCACATATCAGAGAAGAAATTCAATACCATGAACCAACCCGCACTTAGCCAGTGTGGTTGACTATCGCCTAATCACCCTTAACTTAGGATAGACTCCGAGGCCCTCGTTGAGGACGTATAGTGAGCTGATGATGATGATACATTTTTCATCTAATCACGGTAACTTATTTTAATCGATCGACTAAAAAAATACATGTAGATTGAAATAATGAACCTTTGATATTATGTGACCGGGTTCTAAAGTTGAAAATAGCCCTTTCATTTATTAATAGTCTGGCTCATAGAACGTCCTAGGGAGCAGATCAATCCCCTGTTATAACCATTTATAGGTCATTATATTTATAGTGCTGTGAATTTAAACCGTTAAGTCAATATTTATTTGTAGAATTCTCGTTATAAAAAGGGTAGCAATATAGTGTCTTCACGGGAAATAACTTAGGTTAATCTTACCAATATTATAAATACGAATATTTAGATGGATGGATAGATCGATGTTTGTTTGAAGGTATCTCTAGAACGGCTGCATGGATCTCTCTCAAATTGGCATAGATGTAACATAGTCTGGAAGAACAAATAGGCTATTAATCAGTTTTTTTAATAGCGTGTGGACGGAGTCACGAGCGACAGCTAGTTGATTATAAGTTGTAGTGTACTAAAAATTAGAAATTTTAACAGCTATTGTGTTTGTTTCAGGTGTGTTTTCTTTAATGATACTGATTAATACGTAAATTTTACAATTCAATAAAATTAGCAACGGCTTGAAGTCACCAATTCAGTTCTTTCATTTTGTTAAATTTCATCATGGCTGAAACAGAAAGTACTTTGGAACAACAACTTGAAATGATAAAACTAGAGCAACACCAACAGCAACAACCGGAGAAATTTCAAGAAACAAAACAGGAGGAGGAGCCTTTTCGAGAATTAAATCAACAGCAGCAGTTAAGTGAAGAAATAAAACAAGAGCCGCAACAACCACAAGAACAAAAACAAGACCAGCAGCAGCCCGAAGAACAAAAACAAGAACAGCAACTTAAGGAGCAGCAGCTTCAAGAAACAAAACAAGAACATAAAGCATATTCTGTACATTATAAAGCCACTAAACAGGTCGTGGCTGAGAAAGTTTCTGGCACCGTCAAATGGTTTAATGTAAAGAGTGGATATGGTTTTATCAATAGGGATGATACAAAGGAAGATGTATTTGTACATCAAACAGCAATAGTTAGGAACAATCCGCGTAAGGCTGTACGCTCTGTTGGTGATGGGGAAACTGTGGAGTTTGCAATGGTTGTCGGCGAGAAAGGATTTGAAGCTGCAGGAGTGACTGGACCAGGTGGTGGACCGGTAAAAGGCTCTCCGTATGCAGCTGATAAACGTCGCGGTTACCCTCGAAGAGGCGGACGCGGCGGCGAGGGTGTTCCACGTAGAGGTATGGGGCGTCACGGGCCACTTATCTACAACGGTGGCATGCATGGCGACGAAGCACATGTGCCACAGCAACAAAGAAACTTTTTTCGGCGTAACTTTCGCGCCAGTAGAGGAGGCGGCAACAGTCCAACGAACAGAGGCAGATATCGACGGATGCCCCCGCGCGGATTCCGAACTGGTATGCCTCGGATAGATATTGTCGCTGAAAGCCAAGCCTAAAATTTAATGAGGATCTTCCAGCATTTTTAATGCATTGTTACTAGCTGTATACAATTTGATTTTATTTTAAGTTTTATAATTATATATCTACAAATTATTTAGGTTATCAAACCTAGTAGAAAGTATCATAGAAAAATATATGCCAATTACACCCGGTCTGTGACCTTAAGATGTAAGTTATGGTTATTTGGTTTAGATTAGAGAATTTATTTTTAGTTTCCTTTATTTTAATTATAGCTCCAATTGCTTAAAAAAAATATGGCTCTTACTTCACCTAGTTTCATGATGAGATATTATAAAAGTTTACGCGGCTTACTTTCCATTAGCGAGGCTCGTTTAGAACGACTTCCCGACACTTTTCCTCGTCTCATTGTCGTTTCATTTAGGTTAAAGTTCATTTAAGCAAAAAAATATACAGCAGCCACATTTTTATATTCCAAGCTAATTTTTAGATTATTAAGAGAGTCAATCTCAGTAGATTTATTGTAATTGAATGGATGGGAAACTACATTTGGTTTTAGAAGACTAAATTCTGTAATAAACCTACTTTTCCCGTCATTGGAAAACTTAAGGTAGAAGATAGGATCTAAAATAAATTTGTGGTTAGAGAGAACCACATGGCATAGGTTTTTTTTATAACTGTGTTTTAACTATAATATATTATAATGTTATATAATATATTATTGATCTTTAATGGGAGCATTTAAGATATATTTTTTTAAGTATCTGAAAAATGAACCCGCAACGTGTACACTGAATCGAGTGTATATCACTGGTAGATTTTTGTATATTTATAACGTGTGTATTTTACACACTCCTGAAAACTGAAATAAACGCTTTGTATATTCCAAACCCATCTTTTATTTGTGGAAAAACATTGTTCGTGAGTTTGAATAGAAACAAATAGGAACTCGTTCCCAATCCCCCAAAACTGGGAAACAAACAAAGTTGATTGATGACGGGTTCTGAAAAAGGATTCGAATTTGAGTTTTAATATTTACTTGCTGATGTATGATATCAAGGTAAAAGAGAATGTATTTAAACCACAAATGAAGCTTTTAAAAATAAAATTAAGTTCTAAGTAAAGTATTGAAATTCAAAATTCATTTCCAATTCCAAGAACATTATTAAAATTTGTTATTTGAACGTATTTCAGAGAATTTGCTATATTAGGGAAATTTTATCTTCAAGCTTTAAGGATTTTCTCAGAGGTAGCAAGACCTTATTATTGATTCGATTGATAATGAGTTATTTGTTTTATATTTCCACTTGTTTTGTGTAAATAATAAGCACTTTCAAAGTATATAAAGGAAAATGTATTTCTTGCATAAAAAACAAATGAAAATGTACACAAATAGAAGCCAAAAAGTTGAACATTTATAACGTTATCATGTATTTCCACCGTGGACATTCTTATTGAAAAATATAGTCATCTCTTTCTTTTCAAAGAGTATGAAAGGGATGATAATATAATATTATAATATTATAAACAATGGAGTCGGCAGCATTAACCCACAATAACTTTATGATTGGACGGTCGATGGGGCCGCAAAGTCCTAGAGTGGCGGTCACGGACAGGTCAACGCATCGTGGGCAGGCTTCCCGCAAGATGGACCGATGACCTGGTCCAGGTTGCAGGAGCGTCCTGGAAGCGGGTGGCACAGGACCGGTCATCGTGGCGATCTTTGGGGAAGGCCTATGCCCAGCAGTGGGCGTCTCATGACTGAGAAGAAGAAGAACATTATGATTGCAGCTTTTTATAAATAAAACAAGGAATATAGACACAAATACACAATTTCCAGAAGAACTGAACTGTATCAAATCTCATGAATGCTAAATCATTTGAATATATTATCATATAAATGAACATATTTATGTTAATTTTTACAATGTCCTTTCAGGGATTGAATAATCAAACATGTTTTTTTTTACGATTACCCTTAATTTTATTCGAATTTATATTTATGTATTACTATAAAACATGAGTCAACTCTTCCTACATTTCAAAGTGAAACGTCTACTCGAAAAATTTAATTCAGTACAGTTTTTCCAGGGTGGAATTGGTGAATGTAATGTTTAGAAAGGCGTTCTAATCGTCGTATTTATTCACGAGACATTGATCTTTGTATATTTTGTAATAAAAAAAAACTGTTTTCGTGACCATAAAACTCTAGATGACACCTAAAACTCGAAAGAGGATTGTAGATATTACTTCTTTAACATCATTTACACTCAAAGTGTCGGTTATGTCGTTTTTATGATGATTAAAGTGCTTGCGATATTGCCTTTTAGTGTGCTTACTCTGAATAATGATTGCGTAATTAATTTGAATAACGATTGGCTAAAATTTACGATATCTAGTTTCATTAATGTATGGTTGGCTGTGGCCTAGTCACCCTTGATTTAGGGTAGGTTCCAAGCCCCTTGGTGGGGACGTATAGTAAGGTGATGATAAATGTATACAAAAAAAAATACTGGCTGTCGTCAGTAACGTCGACCACGTGAAATAAAAAAATAGAAGATGTGCTATTCATGACTTAAATCAATATCTTCATACAATTTCATCAATTCAATCATTTTTTTAAAGATTTTCTGTGGTAAGATACATCTTCCCATTTACACTACGCATTTATAAAATCGATAAAATTGACAATAGGTTTCTGACACCAAAATCTCTGTATAAAATATATCGTCAATCCTGTCTTTCATGTTTGACAAAACAGAGATGACAGTCTGTTTTAAAAGGGAATTTTGATCTCAGAAACCCACGATGAGATACTTTAAAGCGTAATTTCCAGACGGCTTATGTCAAATATCATGTCGTTAAATATTTTATAATTAGTAGGTGAATATTAACGTATGATTTAATTCATACTGAAGCTCGTTAGGTTAAATTAGTGGCTAATGAGGGCATAAGTGTTAAGGAATGAGAGGTTAGTTCACAGGTTAATTAATTTAAATTATCTCATATAATTGCTGTATTTATTTGATATAAAATATACTATTTGCTATTCACGCCTCTGAGGAATTGTTATTGCATATTCATCTTAAGTCTAATAGCTTTATTAGTTTATTTATTATGTACGAGTAATTTATACCAGGTAATTAGATATAATTAATACTAGTTTTGTTTAAAATTAAGTATCATAAATAGAAGGGGTGACCAACTTGATTAGAGCAGAGATCTACGAATTACTGACGTAACTCTGTGCGATCTGTCACATACAAACTCTTAAATGAAATAGCATAGTACCAAATTATGTAGTACTAACTGTCGACCGCGACTCCGTCCTCACTGTAAGTAGCCTGTGTGTTCTTCCAAACATTGTTCTATATGTACCAAACTTCATCAAGATACAGGCAGACATTCTGGAGATATCTTCTAACACACATCCATTCATGCATCCAAACTTTCGCTTTTATAATTTAATAAAAATTGTTGTGTAATATTTCTCACTTATATTATAAATTCTAATGTTAATAGATAGATGTTTGTTAGAAGAATAACGATTGAAATTCGGCATAAATGTAGAACAAAGCCTAGAGGAATCCATATACTACTAATTAAGTTTTTGTTTAATTCTGTACGGACGCAGTCCTGAGCGATAACTAGTAACACATATATTTTAAATACCCATATAAAGGATTTTTCATGTAAGGAATATTAAAAAAAAGTATATGTCGTAGTGTCAGTGTGGAGTCTATTTAATTACTAGAACTTTCCATGCAGACTAGTAATATCCGGTGCGAGCACTCATTTTGTCTATCTAGTGTCGATATCGACATTTGAAATGCTTTTGTTCGCCTGTTCACAATTGTGTTCATGTTTATTGTTTGTGGAACATGTTTTCGAATGGAAATTAACTATTAATTTGGTTGTTTTACGTGTAAATATTTAATTATTATTTTTAGCTTTTTAAATTAAGAATCAATGGACTAATAAAACTTGCCTTTTGTGAGATAAGTAAAAAAAATCTGTATTTTCATAAAAGAACTAGCTGTCGCCCGCGTCTACATTCAAAATTTAAAAAGAAGTAATTTAGTAGCATGTGTGTTCTTTGCACCCGTTCTGGAGATATCATCTAACAAACATCCATCTAAACATTCGCATTTATAATATTAGTAAGATAAGTATAGGATACAGTTGAATGCTTCAATGGAATAAAAAGAATTGGCTAAGAGACTTACATAATGATTCGAATTGTATATTTGCAAGGAAGTAAAGGTATTGAATATCCTGAAATTCGTAATAATGTTTGAACTCAGCGAACTGTAAAGTACAGAAATATATCGAGTTGAATTTTATTGTGCTATTCATTAAATGAAACGTGATGTCAAAACGAAACTTTTCTATATTTTTACAATGATCAAATAAATGGAAAAGATATTTCAGCAAAGTTACATTTTATAAGATAAAATATGTTTTTTTAAATCATATATATATACAAATATTTCGTGTCAAAATGTATGTTCGCGATAAACTACAAAACTAGTGAATTAATTCTTATTAAATTTTTTAAGCATCTGTAATTCGGTCCAACTTTGGATATAGGGTAGTGTTATCTCTATTATTGATTTTCCTCGTGAACGAAGTCGCGGACAAAAGCTAGTAAGTTTTATATAAGCTATCTGAATTCGAATGTTCGATTGTTGTCAGTGGCGAAACATTGCTAAATAAACTTATCTCCATCCCTCTGATTTACTTTGAGAACAAGACAACCGTAATGTTTTTTCTAAAGGTTTCTCGGCAAGAGTAACGGCAAGATATACGTAACAAAAATTGTTGATTGAATGTTGAAGAACATTCACTAATTATCAACTATAAAACATCAAGAAATATAATTAACCCAGGGTTTCTGACACCAAAATTACTGAATAAAACATATCAGCATTCTTGTCTTTCATTTTTGACGCAACAGGGACAACAATATGTTTTAAAACGGGGATGTTTCTCTTAGACACTCTATATGAATCAGTTTTCACTTCAATTTCAATGTAATATAAACCTATTTGCCTAACTTTGCCAATATACATACGCTAACTTAGTTTATAAACTATCATCATAGGCCGGATATTACATGTTAGAAGACATCTCAGAAGCAACTAAATGTCACTCACACAGCCCTGTTTCCGTCACGAGCAGGAAAGGAGAGGGTTAAGTCAACTAACTGTCGCCCGTGACTCCGTCCGAAAATAAAATAAAATATGTAATATGTTTTACCACACTATTTCCTATCATCATCATCAGCTCACTATACGTCCCCATAGAGGGACTCGGAGCCTATCCTAAGTTAATGGTGATTAGGCCATAGTTAACCATGCGGGCTAATTGCGGGTTGGTTGACTTCACACATATCTTTAAATTTCTTCGCAGATTGTGCAGGTTGCATCACGATGTTTTCCTTCACCGTAAGAACGTCGGATAAATGTACATATGTAAATCGGCAATCGAAAAACACATTGATACATGGCGGGATTCGAACCCAGGACCTGCAGATTGCAAGTCAAGTGCTTGACCCCAGAGCCACCACCGCTCGCATTACATCTGTGCTAAATTTCATCAAAATCCGCTAAGCTGCTCTGGAGATACCTTATAACAAACATCCATTTATCCATGTATAAAAAGATTGTTAGTAAATATCATTTACATATAGGTACGATTTATTCAAGCGTCATATGATAATGTGGATAAAATTAGATTCAGGTGAAGCTCAGCCATTTGAGCGTAATTCCACAAGATTTCCAAATTCATATCGTAAATACAGATTTGTGACAGCCGCGGTGAAATATTCTCATAGTGTTTGCTCAAAATGCGAATTCGATTCGATACGCAAATTGAAAACTATAAGCGG